AAATTGATAAGTTGAGCAGGCGACCAAGCGAGTTTAGCAGGAAAGGAAAAAAAATGAGACATTTTATATGGGCTGGTTTAATTTCCTCTGATGTTTTGCTTCATGGTTTTCCTTAATGTCTGGTTGGAAATAAGAGCAGCGGGCATGATACGGAATGACTGGTAGGACTCTGCGTGATGGGAGTAAAAGAACTAATACAATCAGAGCCTTAAGCAGCATTTAGGTGGTTCTTAACACTTTGCAGAGTGATGTCCTGGATGATGTCAGTGACTCAGGTGCTGAACTTATTTGCTTTCCTTATTTTTTTCTCTGTGGGCTACAAGGCATTAGTCACACTGTGGCAGGTATCAATAACGATAGCCAGTTTTCAGTCAAAAATAAAGCAACCATGGGATTAGCTGGCAGTAGAAGTGTCTCCCAGGAATGCTTGCTTAATGCAGGTCATGCAGCAGGTTACCACAGGAGAGGGAAGTACCTTACCCGTATAAGAACACTCTTACATATGCATGGGTACCAAACGTATTCCCAGTTCCAGAATAGGACATACACAGGTATTTGCACTGCTCACTTAGTAACTGTGGCTGTTGTCCCAAAGTGGGGTCATTTACCCTGTGTGCAGATGCCAATATACACACAGAGTAGATAGCAAAGATAATCTAGCTTGCTTTCAGATATCTGCAAGGTGAATTTCTACATCTAAGCTACTTGTCTAAGCTCCCAGTGTAGCCAAGTGAGAGGAGTTAGCACCTCCTGGCTGCTGAGCTGAATTGTCCCCAAGAGGACTCTGTTGCTCCACTCTGATTCCAGAGACTTCCAATGAGCATCTTTGGAAGCTGGGACTCTTGCCCACTTAGTGAACTGAACTCACGTCAGCTCATGCTACTGTTTGTATTCCTCCTAAAGAAGGGAATCTTCTACCTCATTTACTCAAGTTTGTAGTATTGGCCTGGTCTTGCAAGAATTCAGCCATGTGGTGCGTAATATTTATTTAGATAATACCACAGGTTTATTTTCATTGCAGAATGCTTATTGATGAGTGGAGAGATGCAGAGTAGCAAGATCTATTGCAAGATTATGCACTGCAGGCAGTATAGGAAGGTCTCGAATGTGAGAATGATTCTTTGTTGGAAAAGCATAAAACTTTACCATTTATTTGACTAATAACTAAAGTCATTTATTTAGCATGGGCTTGATTTAACTTTTAAAATAGTATAAATCACACTTTTTTCAGAGATCAGCAGGCCATTTCCTTGCATTGTTTTTTAAAATAAATATAATTCAAATTTTTTTAGCAATTAAAGTAACCGAGAGGACCAAAACTTCAGGTGATTTTTTTTTTCAAATAAGTTGATTGTGCTGTTAATTATTCTCATTTCTTGCTTTGTCATCTTCATCTATTATTTATTTAAACATTCAGAAATACTTTTGGACTGTTTTCCTATTGGCTATTAAGTATACTGGAAATTGTTCATTTCAGTTTTCCCTTCTTTCATTTTGCATCTGTAGCTGTAAATGTGGAAGCTGCCTGTAAGCAGAATGAAGATTAATTTTCTGTACGATGTTGCTTTAACTTCTATGTACTTTTTTCTTTCCTCCTTCCCTTGTGTTGGTCCGTTCTGCCTTGTATTGTGTAATCCTGGGAATAAATCCTGTTGTTCTGATAGAATTTTTTACCCTGATAAGAATTCTATTACATCCCATGCAGTTCCTCAACTAGGTTTTGCTGCTTGTGCTGATTTTTAAGCACCTGTAGCTACAGAAGCAACAAATCTTTACTGTGGTTTACATAAGGGACTAAAGCATGGCTACACCCTTAGTCAAGAGCATCTATCATTATTCTTTAAAAAATTTAATTGTACCTAGGCAAGAGGATTTATCAACGTTTAACAAAGGGAGAAGTTTAGTTTCACTGTTTCAGATGGTTTAGGAAATAATTCACTTTAGTGTAAGTCTCCCTAGAAAAGAGCTTCAGCACAGCTGGCACAATCTCACAGAGAGAGCCCATTGTAAAAGCTTTCTGTGGAAAGACCTAAAAGACACTGTAACTGACACGTGGCTCATTTGTGTTCCCTCCTGGTTTGCTTTATTTTACTTAAAATATTCAGAGCTGGTGAGAATTATTTTTTTTGCCTGTATTTGTGATGTCTTCTCATGTGACTTTCGTAATCACAGAGAGAAAAATATTGAAATTTAATGTGCTGTTGCATGTTTCTCAGGTCTGTACTCTTGCTACTCTGGGCACAGAAATACTGGACTTAGTCCAAATATTTATGTAAAGACAGAACTAATTTATTCTGAATAGTTTTTGCCACTTTTGTCTTTGCTGTGCTTTTAATTCGGTATGGAAGTATTCACAAGTATAAAAGCTATTCTTTCCATTTATAATCTAATGTTATTTGTCAGTCTCTTGGATAAGGCTGAGAAATTAGAGTGTGTGTGCGCATGTAAGAAAGTTTCAGCTGTGCTTCAGAATGTCAAAATTAGTATTTGGCATTAGGGCTTACTTTTCTAGATTAGGATATTTTTTAAGCCTCTAGTCTAACCCCCTGTGCAATTCAGGGCAAACTTTAGAATACAAGGGAATTGCTCAGGGTCTTGTCTAGCTGAGTTTTGAATATACCCAAGGGTAGAGATTCACCTAGTGCAGTGCCTGACCATCATCATTGTGAATTTTGCTTTTCCTTTCATGCAGGCAGGATTTCTCTTGCTTAAATTTTTTACTGTTTTCCCTTCTCAAGTTACATAATGTGCCAATCAATTATTTTATCAATTATGCTGTGTCCAAATATAAATATTGCCAAATCCTGTATTTCATTCCTCATCACAAGTGGTAAAACAGCCTTGAGGAAGACCACATACAAAACAGCTGATGAAATAATACCTAATGACTCCACTATTTTTTATTTATATGTGGCGCACTGCATTTGCAATGTTTATTTGATTGATTTATTTATTGATTAAATCGATTCAAGTTGGGTTAACATCACTAGTCATCTTTCCTAATCATTACATTGTATACATTCCCCACTGTATTTTCTTTCTTTAATGTATAGAGTAAATCTCCTTTTGGAATATGAACTCTATTAGATTTCTGATATATAATGTTTTGGGTCTTGTAAACTAGCTTTTCCCACCCTTACATGTTTGTATTTAGGGATTATATTAAATTCTCCACTGCAAGCATAAAAGGAGGGCAAACAGAAAAAATCTTTTTTTTTTTTTTTTTTTCTCAAGTTACATAATGTGCCAATCAATTATTTTATCAATTATGCTGTGTCCAAATATAAATATTGCCAAATCCTGTATTTCATTCCTCATCACAAGTGGTAAAACAGCCTTGAGGAAGACCACATACAAAACAGCTGATGAAATAATACCTAATGACTCCACTATTTTTTATTTATATGTGGCGCACTGCATTTGCAATGTTTATTTGATTGATTTATTTATTGATTAAATCGATTCAAGTTGGGTTAACATCACTAGTTATCTTTCCAAATCATTACATTGTATACATTCCCCACTGTATTTTCTTTCTTTAATGTATAGAGTAAATCTCCTTTTGGAATATGAACTCTATTAGATTTCTGATATATAATGTTTTGGGTCTTGTAAACTAGCTTTTCCCACCCTTACATGTTTGTATTTAGGGATTATATTAAATTCTCCACTGCAAGCATAAAAGGAGGGCAAACAGAAAAAATCTTTTTCTTTTTTTTTTTTTTTTTTAGCAGATCCTAACTACACAGCTGTTCTGAAGCAGAAATAAGGTTACATGCAGCTCTAAGAAGAAAATGCTCAGGATTTGCCTGTTTATTTTTTAGTGCAAATTCTCTGAGGTTCAACCCACCCCTGTTATTATTTCTGTAGAGAAGTCAATTTACAAGTAGCCAGAGATGAGACTCCTCTGGAGCTCGCCACAGCACTACCCATCCCATAAAAAAAGATCATACCCTAAATGTGTCAGACCAACTTGCCACAGCACTACCCATCCCATAAAAAAAAGATCATACCCTAAATGTGTCAGACAGACAAGTCCAAACTGATATCCAAGACTCATGACTATTCAGAACCAGCTGTAATCATTTAAGTCCTCATCACAGTTGAGCCACACGAGTGGATTTTGCCATAGGGTGGCTGGCTTAGCTTAAATTGCTTTCACTTGTTCTCCTTGAGCTGAAAATTACTGATTCAACAAGTGTGTTAGCAGGAGTAAGATGTACCATTCCTAAGAAGAAAAGGCCTTTACACGACTTGTGATGAATAGCCCAAGTAGCTTTACAGCTCCTCCTTGAGACACGATTTGGTTTTTTACTTAAAGTAAAACCACATGAGGACAAAAATATAGAACTATAAGAATACATTAGAATTTTGCTTAACATTTTTAACCTCATAAATATGGAAATCTATGTGTGGTTGTCGCAAGTGTGAACTCCAGGAAGGAGTCTTTCACAACGGTAAAAAATCTGCCTCCATTGCTCCCCCAAGCACAAGAAAGAGCACTCTAGGTAACAAGTAGATTGCTGGGGAACATTAGCCTTGTTCTAATAAAGTTGCATAATATAAATGGGATTATCAATTAGGATAAAGCAGTTTTTCATCTCATAACACATATTAAATATGAAGTATAGCCAATTAGTGATCATAACCATCACCATGTTTTGATTATGAAAAAATAAGATTGCATACTTTTTAGTTACTCTTTGACATCCATCAAAACAGCTTAATTTTAACCACTCCCTCGGGGGAAAAAAATTGAAATATAAAAATGTTTTCCACTTGATTGCATGGGATTAAATCACTGTGGTTTATGTAACCGTGAAGGAAAATGGACCACTGACTCACAACAGTTTTGAAAAGCTGTCCTCTTTGCTGACTGGAGTCCCAATTAAAGATTTTTTTGTGTTCTTTGGTGGCTGCTTAGGCTTATTTTATGTCTTGGCCTTCCATTAGGGTTGACAATACATTCACCCATTTTTTTTCTATCTGTTTTCCAACAGTACCTGCAAGTCCCAGCCACAGGACACAGTACACAGGGTCACGTTTGACTGGGAAATTGAACTGGATTCTGCTTCTGCTAAACTTGGTGAAAGTTTGTGGCCAATTTACAGAGAACACAGAGCTTCAGTGAGAATGTACCTGTCTAAATAAATGGGGCAAGTGGGGAGCAGAGATTATCTCAAAGGTGTGGAGTTTTTTCCTTGTTTTGTTGTAACCTATTGTGAAACCTTCTATTTCGTGCTTCATTTAAAGTCACCTGAAGACTTTACATTGATTTGAATAGAGGTTAAGTCCCACATTTAATTTTTAATATTTCAGTTCATATATTTTATCTAATAAGGATAATAATCAGCATGGTTGGAACCTATAGAATTCATAAATTATATTGTTAGAGTAATTACAATATTAACTCATAAGCTATCAAAACTAACCCTCGAAATCTCTTGTTATATCCTTCTAATGGTATTACAGTTACGCCTATTCACTTTATCTCAGTATTAAACTGAATCTTAAACTAACAGTTTTACACTTTGCACTTCTTTACCTTAGTCAATGTCATTCTAATAAGGATAATAATCAGCATGGTTGGAACCTATAGAATTCATAAATTATATTGTTAGAGTAATTACAATATTAACTCATAAGCTATCAAAACTAACCCTCGAAATCTCTTGTTATATCCTTCTAATGGTATTACAGTTACGCCTATTCACTTTATCTCAGTATTAAACTGAATCTTAAACTAACAGTTTTACACTTTGCACTTCTTTACCTTAGTCAATGTCATTCTGTTTGATCCAGCCTGTGTATTTAACAAAATGCAACAGTTTATTTGGATTTATTTCCCTTGAACACCATGGCAGTTATGAGGTTAAATCATCAATTGCTAAATTATTAATTCATGTAAAAGTCTAGTATTTTTCCAATAAAAAAACATCATTATCATTACTCACACTTTCCATATGTTGATCAGGGATTGCACAGTTTCTATCTACCTGGCAGTATTTAACACGTTCTTTGATATTATTTGCAGTCATTAGAGGTAGCTGGGACTGACCCTGCAGCCTACAGCTCTGCTGGGAGCCATGTTGCACATGAGCTGCACACAGAGGTGAGAGCCAGCTGGTGTGGAACAAATCCGATGATAGGAACTGAATTTCCTGCTTTTCAGGGTGGAAGATGGAAGGACAGATGCATGCATGAACCTAGACACTCATCTCCTTGGCAGTCAAAATGTGTTAAAACAAACTGCCCCTTCTCCTGCCGCTGGGAGAGGACCTGGGAGAGTGCTGTAGATGCTGAGCTGGGCTGTCATCCCAGGATGGAAAGCTAGCTCTGACATCAGGCAGTTACAAAAGCTGAATAAACCCCTTTTTATCTTCCCATGACCATAAATCAGGGCCCCTCTATGGAAACAGATTGTTGTCCTCACATTTGTGAGAAGAATAGGACAAAGTATGCATAGATTTGACTTCCTACTTAGAGAAAATATGTAATATTCCCATTTATTTGCATAAAGATTTATGTAGGGATCGTAGGGCATACTCACAATTTTTAAAATATAGTTGAGATTAAAAAATTCTGACGACAGTATTTCCCCCCTGTGACAGTTGCTGCATGGTCTGAGGGAAAAGCTTCCTAAATCAACAATGAAGTGACAAAAAGAACAAAAGTATTTGGCTTTCTGCCCATGAGACTGCCCCAGAGCAGCTCTAGTAAAATATTTGAAGGATTTGCTGTCTATTTATAGTGCCATTTATATGCACTAGTTTCAGTAAGAAAAGTAGCTGTCTCTGGGCGGCATTCAAGATAAACAGCAATGGTCTTTCTCCCTGTAACATCTCTTAGTGCTGCCACCAGCCCATAATAACAAGTCAAAAACAATGAGAAGAGTAACAGACGTAGGAAAGTGCAGAATGATGAATAGTTGTAGCTAAGTTATGTATTGATTTCAGAAAGGGGCAAACCAAATTTTTACTGTCTTATATTTGAGAAGTAATAATTGACCTTATGAAAATTAAATCATGTTTGGGAACAACCTAAATCATACCTAATCTGTAGAATAATTTTGCAATAGCAAGTGATCAATTAGGAGTTCCATTAATGTATGAAGAAATGAGTTGGCAAAGATTTGAATGATTTTCTTATGCTCACATCTGATGTATTGGTCTGTAAATCAGAATCTGGCTTTCTGACACCTAGACCTTTTCTCATCCTGTGGCTAAAGGAGCTGGCAGCACTGGGCCAGCACTGTGCCTTGGAGATGATATGGTTAACTGATTCACAGCTGCAGGTGGAGAGCGGGGTTAATGGCAATCTGGGCTGGGTGGGGGGGGTTATTGGATGCACCTGGAGGAACTGCTGCTGGGGTCATGTGGTCTTGGGCTGGGCAGGGCAACAGGACTCATTATTGGGCATTGCTTGGTGCTTCAGAGCTGGCTTCTCTTAGGAAGGGTGTATGTTCAGATAATCTGCCTTGGTATGTCAGCAGGGTAGAAGGGAGGTTACTAAGAACCTGAAGAAGCAGGAATATTGCTAAAGGTAAAGCCTTTAATGCTCTATGGAGGAAGCATGTTCCTACCTGGCACTAACGGTTACGAATCAATGATGACCATCTCATTGTTATGATTTCTTCTGACCACTGTGGAGGACCAGGACAGCTTTCAACAGTTTTCTTTCTACTAATGGTAAGTGTGGCCTTTGAAGGGGTGTGAGATCCTACTACAACCATATCGGGTATTTAGAGGATACACATAACTAAAGCTTATGTAGCCTCCTCTTTTTGATGGTCGAGCTAATGAGCTTCTAAAGTAGCCTAAAAATAAGGGAGTTGTTAAAGCACATTAATCAGCAGTGACAGTGTAGCTTTGAGATGGAGTGATGAAAGAATTTTTCTTCAAAGTCAACATGTTTTTGACACTTGGAACAGACTCTGTGCATGTCCTGTGTTACTTGTCTCTGTTTAAGTTGTACCACATGTTGCTGGGGAATAATGGTGATGCTTTCCATGTGCAAGTAATGCTAACTTTACTCTCTGAATAACTAAATGCATTTAAAATACTGTTCTTGATTAAAAGAAGAAAGAAGCTTGTTAAAAACAATGAAAACTTGGAATAAACTTTGTCCTATGCTGTATGTAAATGTAATCCTAAGGGAAAGGAAAAATGGGGAAACCTAAGTTACAGTGTTGCATTCTACACCTATAGCTTCTTCTAGTTTACTTTTTTTGGCTAAATCACTTCAATGCCTTGCCAATCAGTGGTAATTAGATACTTCAAACAAAGTTATTTGTTGAGAAGTCTTTGTAGCTCAGAATGTGGGTTGTCATCAGGTCTAGAAGTGTGGAAGCTTAAACAGTTGCAGATAACTTATGCTACTGCTGCTCCCTCTAACAATTCCAGCGCTGCGATGGTGTCTCAGCAGGCTGCTGAATCACAAATTATTTCATTGTATGCTAGTGAGGGAATCCCGATTGCGGGAGAGGTGTAGTGCCTAAATATGTGAAGACTTTTAAGTTTTCCTACTGTTGCTATGGAGTTTCATATACTACTGTGAATTCTGTGTAGGCACCTGTCTTACCTTCTCGCTGGGCAACAGAAACAGGTGTTGCTTTTTTCCAGTGTATGTGATTTGGCTCTGGAGCAGTTGTTGATGATTAGAAAATGGCACGTTTCAGTACTTTTTTTTTTTTTGTTTCCCCGCTGGATAACTTAAAATTCAAAGGTAGTGCAAACAAATATTAATTGGTTTTCTGTTCAGTTAACTATAGACAAATTATTATTGTAATTGTGAGCTTATATGATGATAAACTTCACAAGCTTTCTTTGTTTCATTTTTGCTCTTGCTCTTTTTATTTATGCTAGGATTGTATACTAAATAGTGGAAATTCTCACATGTAGCTCGTCAATGCCAACTTGGCTTTGATGAAATTATAGTCAAAGGAAACCATGTGTGGGAGGTCTCAGAGCTGTATCATAGACTTCTATAGGCCCAAAGTATATCTGATCATGCAGTACTGCCAAAGATGGGGGGGACAAAATAAGGATTTTGATACTCCTCTGCAAATTTGTTTCGCCTCTTTCTTAGTCTGTGGAGTCTTCCTAAAGGTGTTTGCTTGTAATGCTCCATTTTGGTCGGTGTTTCTGCTGGTAAATAAGGAGAGTGAACTTCAGGAAGTGTTTTAACAGAGTGCTTGTTGTCTGAGCAGGACCAAGGAAAAGTTGGGAAGGTGGAAGCTGCATGAGGTCTCTCTCTCTCCAGAGAAGCGAGGAGGGTGATGCATACCCTAAACTTGTGTTGCTCACATATTTCACACATTTCATTCCCCAGAGGATCTGGGGAACTATAGGCCTGTCAGTCTGACCTCGGTGCTGGGCAATGTTAGTGAGCAGATCATCTTGAGTGCCATTGTGTACAAGACAACCAGGTGATTGGGCCCAGTCAGCATGGGTTCATGAGAGGCAGGTCCTGCTTGATGAACCTGATCTCCTCCTATGACAAAGGGACCTGCTTAGTGGATGAGGGAAAAGCTGTGCATGTTGTTTACCTAGACTTCAGCCCAGCCTTTGACACTATTCCCCATGGCATTCTCCTGTAGATACTGGCTGCCCATGGCTTGGATGGGAGTACTCTGGTTAAAAAACTGGCTGGATGGTTGGGCCCAAGGAGTTGTGGTGAATGGAGTTAAGTTTTGCCTGGAGGAGGCTGAGGGGAGACCTTATTACCTTCTACATCTACCTGAAAGGAGGTTGTAGCGATGTGGGGGTTGGTCTCTTCACCCCAGTCACAAGCAATAGGACAAGAGGAAATGGCCTCAGGTTGTGCCAAGGGAGGTTTAGATTGGATGTGAGGAAAAATTTATTCACCGAAAGGCTTGTCAAGCATTGGAACAGGCTTCCCAGGGAAGTGGTTCTGTCACCATCCCTGGGGGTAGTTTAAAAGATGTGTAGATGTGGTGCTTAGGGACACGGTTCAGTGATGGACTTAGCAGTGTTAGGTTAGCTTGATGGTCAGACTTGGTGACCTTAAAGGTCTTTTGCAACCTAAATGATTCTGTGATCAGTAACAAATGATCTGATCTCTAGCAGTGACGAGTTCCTAGGCCTCTTAAGAGAGGATACCAGTTATTACAGCACACTGTGTCTTCAGGTTTTATCGGCTGGATTGTATCTGGTGTTGGGGTACCCCAGTTCCTTGGGGTGTTTTGCTCTTAGATTCATAGGCTAAGTGTGAATCTAAATGAGAGAGCTGTGAAGCTTTACTCCTGTCAAACTCTTCACTGCTGTCTGCCTCTCTGGAGTGGTCCTGTGCTTGGCTGATGCCTATTATTGACTCACTGTCAACAATGGATCAGGCTGCCTAATACTTAAAATGCAGAATAAAGCCTATCTACAAGTGAAGTCTTCATTTTTCTTTGCACCTTTTTTAAAATTTTTTAATC